TAATTATTGTATTCTTTTCCATACCAACAATTGGAAATCTACTTTTGCCCCACCCTGAATATATTTGCACACACATATAATATTATTAAATAGAGTACTATAGTAATATAAACTAGACAATTTATCTAATTTTGCAATGTTAATATTTTGGACCCAGAAGGAAAAGATGGCAAATACAGTATTTTTCACAAAGTGCTACTATTTTTACCTCAAGTGACATTGAAGTCAGAACCCTCTTTCTTTCAATTCTGTAAACAATATGACACAACCATTTTTCTTTTCTTTTCATGCACACAAAAGAAAAAAACGAACCGTGTGTAAGCTATGTGGTTGGTTATCGCAGTATAATTCTATGTACACTGGAAAGCAACCATATGAAAGGCTTGGGAACAGGTGTGGTGCTAAGCAGATAATCCATGAAAAGGACTGGCTGACATAGTACTTTATAGTGCCTGATGCAGGGTACCAGCCTTAAGTAAAAGTGGAGTGGATGAAATAGAACAGAATTCTTTCCCCATGGAAAGCAGCTCACAGGCTTTTTGAAATACTATAACAGGCAGCTCTTTTATTACAAATGATGAAAGGTTATCACTTTAAGAGCAATAAAATGTTACTTCTTAGAAATACTGAAATTCTGATTTTTTCCCCAAACTTCTAGATATATATGTTTATGTTAGAACTGATTATGTCCATACATGTAAGTCACTGAAGGAAATCAATAAATTGGCAATTTGCCTAAAATACATTTTACTTTAACCATTTAAATCTCCAGTTTAAGCTTACAAACAGTTTGAAGACACATACAAGAAAATAAGATGTGAACTTAGAAGAACAGATTACTTCCTTGGAAATTTACAAGTGTATTGAAAACCAATGATTCAAATTATTTTTAAAATTCCTAAATGCATTATTTCTTATGAATTTATACTGTAAATATAAATACTAAATTTGAATACATAATTTGCACATGTTATTTAGGTTTTTGCAAGACCTTACCATGTGTAAAACTATGTTATTTTTATCAATACTGGAGAAATAAAAGAAAGGTGTCTATGCAGCGAGGTTTCTTTGAAGAAAGAGTGGTAAATTTTTTATATTTTCCAAAATGAACAGTTTGCTTTAGATTCTGATTTTATATGTACTTATTAAATTAATGAAATCCATGAAAAAATAAAGGCACATTTTATCTCCTTGTTATAAACTATAATAAGTTATGCCTTTGTATATTTCTAAAAAAATTGGTTTATATCCATTTCTGTCAACCTAATGCTCATCCAAATGCCAATCCAGATAGCTACACATACTACTATGTGTAAACATTAATAAATTTAACATCATGTTACTACTTATCTGAAAAAAATGTATCTACTGTTGCATATTTTAAACACACACTTGTGAAATAATAAATGTCATGTGCTTAAGCTGATGAGAACAAATTAAAGGTCTAACATAGGGATTTATTGATGTTCATACTTTTAAGGTTTTATTTTACATTTAATATTTTATCTCATTTTACCAAGGACAGATTTTCTTGTATACATAATATGTGAAAAGAAATTGCTAAGCCCAAATGAGAATAATTGTCACTTCTAACACATAGTAAAGATATTCATTGCAAGTCATGGTCATTCCAATGACATAAAAAAAAATTTTCTGCAGCCTTTAAATTTAAATTTGTCTATAACAGAAATATGCATATAGATAGATAGATAGATAGATAGATAATAGATAGATATTAAGTATTTAAACCCCCAAGTACTACTCTTCTATAAGATGTTATGTTTTCTTCATGTACATGTAGACACCTGTAATTTATCCCATTATACAGTTTATAATAAAACCACCATATACCAATGGTCTCTCAGCCAATTATTCTTGACTGATTGGCATTTTGATATGACTGAGATAAAAGTTTCACATGAGTAGTTAGAACTACAATGTTTAAAAAAACACCTGAATTTATAAATAGGTCCTAAGATTAAGAGGGACAGGTTTAAATTAACATTATAATATTGGCTTCCATACATATTACCCTGAGTTTTAAAATAGAAGTGTTTTCACATATGAGTCAAGAAATTATTTCTAGAACAAGTGAGAGCTCCCTTTTTGAAAACTGTATTTTAAACTACCAATATAATGTGCATTGTAACACGAAAAAACTGTATTTTCCACTTACATATAAACCAATATGCATGAGGTGGTTGCTACCATATGGCATATATATGTTTCACACCTTATTGAGACAATCATTTCCACAAGGAAAACCTAACCTAGCAAAGAACTGTATCAAAATTTCCTTGTCTTAAAAAAAGTTATTTTAGTATTAACACTTAGAACAGTTTAACTACTACTTAAATCCAGAAGAATCTGCTATGAGAATGTATGAGAAAGCAGACAGCAGAAAATTAAAGCTATCTAGAAAATTTTTGTTTTATTATAATAAAACTTAAGCTCTTAATATTATAAACACTCTAAAAGAAAGAAACACTTTGTGAATTACTAGCTGGAATTGAGGCCCACTCCAGTAAGTGCATAATTAATTTCATAGTGTGTTGATGGCATCCTTTTCTGATAATCAAAACTTCTCATGTTACCTTTTCTCTGAAAAGTAAAATCATCCAAAATAAAAAAGATTTACTAATGAGAAACTTACACATAGAAGCATAATAATGTGCCTTTAGTGAATGCTATCATCTTTGTATGCAGTTTTTATAAACTTGAAATTTTTTCCAAAGGTTTGAGATTTTTCCTGATCTCCACACTTCATATGATTTTTCTTTCAAGAAAAGCAAATGGCATCACATCTTGATGAAAATAACGCTGCAATTTAAATTTTTTTAATTTATTCAAAAATCTAACATGAAGTACAGATGTCAATTATCATTTGTTCTCATTTGGAAAGTGTTACTAACTTTCCAACTAAATAATAATTGAAGATGCAGTCTTACAAAAATATGGTTAATATTATCTGTAGGATACTGGCTTAGACCTACAAAATCTTTTACTAAGCTTTTATTTCATGAAATGATGTTTCATATAATTTGAAGACATCTTAAATTCCCATGGTTAAAAAATAAATTTCAAATCTTTTAAAAATATTTTGTTTTCCTAATTCCTATTTTCGCCCACTATTTATTTTCTTTCTTGTCTCTAGTAAATTTCTGACCATGAAAACTGAGTTATTTTAATTTGAGGAAATCATTTATGGAAGCTGTACTTACAAAAAGGATTTTTACATTAATATTTTACCATGTCACATTCAAGAATAAAAGGTTGTAGTTTGTTGGAGTTTAAAGTCATAGTTTTTTTCCCCAATGGTGTGATGATGCATAACCTCCAAATGATGGAAATAATGATAATATGTCAGTTAAAAATAAGACTAAAAAGGTGTAAACTAAACACACGGACTCCTTTTTAAAAAGCCACTTCTTTATTTGACACAAAACGCAAGTGAGTCACTGGAGTTCTTGCAGTATAGGCCAAGCTAGAAAGAGTAAAAAATTAGTAAGAGTAAATAATTTTGAAGTATCTTTAGGGTAATCTTTACTCTTTTTATGTTTTAAAATATCTGCGTGGAACATGCTGCCAATTTAATGAAGGTCCACAGATGGCATTCACCCTTTTGCTTCATAACAAAAACAGGATCTGCAATCGTTTTTATGGAAGATTATCTAAAAAGGAACGTGACTGTAAATCAATGATAAAAATATTAGACACTCCCCTCCTCTGGGTTAGAGTGTGCATCAGTCAGACGCTTGCACTGGCACCTAATGCACTGAATCTAATAGCTTCGGGGTATCAACTGGTAAAGATTCAGTTCGGATCCACCAAAAACTATCGTATTCGGCACTCGGTCAACAAAAGGACAGCACATAATTCCCAACATCATACATACCGGGAAGGCTACCGTGGGCTTTGTTTTTGTTATGTAAAATGCATTAAAGTGACTCATCCACTTAAGATCACCTACTCTCAGAAGCTTTAAAGTAGCTTCAAGAACTAAAATAAATGCTTTCCCAGAATGCCTGATAGGCTCTTCAGCGCATTTAAAAGTATGTATGTGTATTTTTGTGCCACGGACTTTGATTCTTTTTTCCAGCCTAAAAGAGAGGAGAGAATTAGGTTTCATTCCCTTCCTTGCCGTGTGACTACATGGCTACCTTTAAACACTCTATTTCCAGAAAAGCAGCGAAGTGGTGTGTGTGTGCGTGTGTGTGTGTGTGTGTGTGTGTGTGTGTGTGTGTGTGTCACTCTATTTCCAGAAAAGCAGCGAAGTGGGGTGTGTGTGTGTGTGTGTGTGTGTGTGTGATTTTAGAATCTTAAAAATAAGAGAAAATTGCAGGAGACTCTGGTAAGGCTCAGTTCCTCCCCCAAAGAATAGGTTCAATTCATTCTAAGAGCAGGAACCGCAAGTCTTCCGGCAATTAGATGCTTCCAAGAAAGGGTGGCCCCAGTACCTGCAAGACCCCTGGGTGGACAGGACTCTGTGGCGGGGAGCGGGCAGGTCAGAGAGGCTGTCAAGTGCGCCCAGTGATTGAGGATCTACAGGAGTTTGGACACCGGAGCAATTGGAGAGCATCCCAGAGGCCAAGTGTGGGAGAAGTCCGGGCTGCCCTGCCAAGCCTGCAATTACCTATTTGTAAAACGCCCAGCCCAAACACAACTTTTTATTAGACTGCGTGTGGCTGAGAGCGGCCAAGTGGCTGGAAACTTTCTTCTCTCCCCCCCAGTGAAAGGCGCACCTATAAACTCTTTCGAGAATCCTTTAAAGAGAAGGTCTGAGGCGCCGCGCGGCCAGCCCCTCGGACGCCCCGGTTCCGAGCACATCCAGGCGGCGAGCGGCGCCCTCCTCCCGCTCGGCCTCTCCGGATCCCAGCCGGGCTCGCTCCCCACCCCCCACGGGCAGGAAAACCCCGCGACTCCGGCCACCGGAGTCGGGCGCCCAGCCCCAGCGGCGCCCTCGGCCGGCACTCCCAGCCCTGCCCGGCCCGGCGACTTACGTGATGGCCGAAGGGAATGGCTCCTCCGACGAGGGGCGGATCAGCCAAGATTGGAAAAGTGTCAGAGTCAAGGCCAGCAGGCAGCAAGCAGCCATCTTCGCGATCGAAGATCAATCCCGCCTCCCTCCCCAGCCCGGGAAGGAAGCAGCGGTCCGGGGCCGCGGGGAGGAGAA